AAATGATATATAATTTATATTTTATTCATATTTCATTTACTTTTCCAAATCTATAAAGCAAACACAACTAAGTTCCTTTAAATTTTAACTGCGCCGGTTGAAAAAAAGTAAAATTATTAAATATTTTAAAAGTATTATGTATTATTTACTCTTGCATTTAGAACCCCAAGGGAATTTTAACTGCGCCGGTTGAAAAAAAGTAAAATTATTAAATATTTTAAAAGTATTATGTATTATTTACTCTTGCATTTAGAACCCCAAGAGATTGACTGAACGACAAAGCCTTAAGAATAAAATTGAAGATCTCGAGTTTGAGTCATTTTAAGAAGTCATTGAAAGTTTACTCAGTCTTTAACTTTAGAATTTTAAAATCGATCACGGTTGCGCAAATTGACTCGAACAACTAGTCATAAAAAATTTACTCTTGCTTTTAGTCACAAGCCTCATGTAATCGTGTGGCCCATTTTGGCTTCCGACTTGTATTGGTTAGCTTTGTCGTTATTGCTAGCATTCTTATTTTTATTTTTGCTATTTGTATAATTTAGAGTGTGAATTTTAAATTTGTGAATAAATATAAAATTTAAACACACACACAAAAAAAAAAAAAAAAAAAAAAAGAAGAAAAAAAAAAAGAAAAAGAAAAGGAAAAAAATGAAGAAGAAAAAAAAGAACAAGAGAAGGGCTTATAAGCAATGGATGTCAAGGCTGCAAATTCTCCATTGGACTCTGATACTGCCAGATTGAGTCTATCAGCCCAAGTACCCTATTGAGCCATGAAAGGGCTGGACATCATATGCGTGAATGTTTTTGGGCCACATCAGGGCTTTGTATTAAACTGCAAGAGCCCATGGAAAATTTATTTTGCCGTTTGGAGCAAGTCTATGTGTTGTCTTAATTTTATTTTCGATGGTACTACGTACACCAATTAGTATACATACTAGTATACTAACTAGTGTTATGATATTATTATTGACCACATTTATACAACTTACAAGTACCCAAAATTATACAAATGATGTCACATCATCTGTTAGTACACTAATGTGTACATATAGTATTATTCTTTTATTTTTGTTTGTAACATGACAAATGTCATGAAATGAATGGTACTCAAAGACCACCAAATAACTTCTTAGAGCTAGGGTTAGAGCTATTCGTGAATAGGCTCAAGTTCGCCTCGATAATGATTTGTTTGAATTTAGTTAAATTTTTATTATTTTTGTTAAACTCGAACTTGTTAAAATTTTAATAAACAAATCCAAACATACTAAATTTCGACTCGGCTTGACTTGTTGCAGTCTTACTTAGAGCCCATGTTGTTCAGCCGCAACTAGTGTAGGTATGAGTGTTGGCAAATGTTCAAAAACCAAACCATGTTTTGAATTGGTTCTTCTGGGCTGATCTTCTTGCAATCTTCTCATCTTCATCATATACTGGGCAAATTAATGCTCCAACTGGTACTGTTCTAGTTTGAGAATACTGACCATTCAGTCCCCACTAATGCATCAAATTGTGATTTGATCTTCACTGCAAAATGCAATAAATTTCCTTGTGTCACTGAGATCATTATGCAGAGGCAGTTGTTTCTGTGATCATTATGCAATAAATTTCCTTTTCTCAAACTCATTTCTTTATCACACAATCAAGCTCTAAAAATCACTGTGTGATCAAAGTAGAGAGGTATTGTTTTTGTCAATGTATGAAAAGGGGCTGTTGATGATGTATAAAGCATGACTAATACTATATAAACATAATTTGTATACAAAAAAACTTACACTAATATGTTTCATTTATAACCATTCATTAAAAGCTAATATGTTCACCACTCTAGTTCATAATTACAAGAATATCATTAGTACATCATTTTTATCTTAAATTTTATATGAAAATTATTATGTATGTATGTTATTTTTCATTGAACGTTATACATACAGTTTAAGCCCTACTTAAAAGTATTGTCCGTTACTAGAGATGTTTTGTGCCATGCTATAAGCGATCCAACCCAAAAAGCACTTCCTAATAGAGGTATCCTACGGCATCAAATAAGTTCATGTTGATGTGCTACAACATCTTATAATTCTATTTTAAAAATTGTTTATCATCAATGAGAGATAATTCTGTAATTTATTGACAACTACACACGAATATCGAACATGTACTTTTGTGTCTCAGTCACAAGCAATTGTCAAATGCTGATTCAAATTTTAAAGTGTGATCATCTTAGAATAAGATTTTAATTTGGCTACCATTTTCTTCATTCTCAAGGCGCGCTAAAAAATAAAACGACAATGTTACGTAACTCAAATTTTATGGTTCAAAAATAGTTCAAATGGCCAAAACGATGTGGCCAAAACGATGTCGTTTTGAGTACAGAACAACATAAAAATGGCCAAAACGACGTCGTTTTGGCCATTTGAGCCACTTTTGAGCCATAAAATTTGAGTTACGAGACATTTTCCAAAATAAAAATAAAAATATATGTTCACACTTCAAAATCAGCTTGTTCTTTGTAAATAAATTTCACAAAATTGGCCCACTACGACTCATTTTCTGAATCAGGCCGAAAAATATTAAAGTATTGTAGGACGATTGGCGTGCTATTTCCCATTTTCTCTCCTCTCTCCCCGTGTTCTTGAACAGGAAATGGAATTGTCGCACACCACAGAAACACACACAGATAAAAGCATCAAAGTTCACACTTTAATCATGACAAGCACCGCCAGGCCACCACCACCACAACACTCACTCACTTCCCACCACCACTGATCATTTCCACCCATCACGGCTACCCTTTTCCTAACATTATTAAACTAGTCATTAATTCAATGAAAATATCTAGTTAACTAACTTCTATCTCTCAAGACTTCATGTAACGTAAAAAATAAAAATTAATCAGAAAAATGTTTTAAGAAAAAGTGCAGATTTAGGTCTCATTTGACAATGCACTATTTTAGTTTAAAAGTTACTGTTGTTTTAAAATTGTGAAATTAAATAAATAGATTTATGAAGAAAACAAATTATATACCAAGAACATATGCTGATAATTACAACTAAATTTCAACAGAAATACACAAAAAACAATAAAGGGTAAAGAGACAAAATCGAAACCTGCACGGAAGTAGTTTCCTTAAAACAGATTTCGCCGCCTCACGGGTCGAGGGCTTAAGAAAACCCGGCGTCTGTCTCCCAGGATACGACGGTCAAAACCAGCTACGGCAGAAGCACTATCTGTCTAGCTTAGCGAACAAAACAATGGTAGCACTCTCTCACAATAGGAACTATCAAGCAAACTGACTTGTAAAATGGAAGCAAAAATTTATATATTGAAACTTGACAGGAGAGTCTCAATTTATACATGTATAGGAGAGAGGAAAAGCCTCCAGCCTTTAAGGGTAGTCATTAAAACACCAAGCATCCATAGCCCCTTTCCACAAAATGAAAAGTATGGATGCCCAAAGGATTCACACCCTTTAGCTAAGAAAAAAGATTTAAATACTCTTTAAAATTCTATTCATGAATCTAACATCATGAAGCAATTTCTTGACAATTTCTTATTCAAAACCCAATGATTTTTGGCTCACTTGGACCCAACACAAAAAATGGTTAGGACCCATTTTAATATTTAATTAAAGTCACCACACTTTAATATTAAATTAAAGTCCCCAAAAATCATTTTTTCCAACAGTTACAAGGTTACTAAAAAAAATAAGAAGTCAACAATCTATATAAAAAAGTCAAAGATTTTCTTTTCTCTCTACTCTTTGCATATCTTTTTATAAAAAATTAAAATGTCATTCTAAACATACTAATTTTTTTTATCTTATATTTTAACTAAAAAAATTACTAAAATAGTCTATTTTCAAACAAGGCTGTAAACTCTTGTTAAGGCCTCGTTTGGGAACATGCTAATTTAGTAACTTTTGGCTATTTGGCTAAAAGGGTAGGTAATGCTAATTTAGTAACTTTTGGCTATTTGGCTAAAAGGGTAGGTAAAAAAAATTTGTATGTTTGGGATGACTTTTTGGCTAATTACGAAAAGATGTGCAAAAAGTAGAGAGAAAAGAGAATCTTTGACTTTTTGGTATAAGTTGTTGGCTTTTTGGCTAATTTAGTAACTTTTGGGCTAATTGGCTAAAATAGCCTCTTGCCAAGTTAAAAATTGAAGCACCTGTTAATTTTGTAACAACAGTTATATGTCTTTATTTGGAATGTGAGTTGACTTTTTGGCTTAACCTTGTTTGGGAATAGGTTTTTTTTAGTAATTCTTTGACTTTTTTGTTGAAATATGATGTAAAAAAGTAGAGAGAAAAGAAAATTTTTATTTTTGGTATAAGTTGTTTACTTTTTGATTTTTTTAGTGACTTTTTGACCGTTGGGCTAAAAAGTGATAGTGTCAAAAAAGCCTCATTTTGGGATAAATTTTTTTTGGCTTTTTTGACTTTTATGAGAGAAAAATAAAATGATTATGAGTTGGATATGACATTTTATCCTATTTAAATAAAATATCTAATTTTGTCTTGTATGACTATTTTAGCCCAAAATAGTATCTCAATCATATCATTGCAATATTTTTTTTCGTATGTTTAGGGTTTGCTTTTTTTTATTTTTGTTGATTTTTTATATTTTTTTTATTGAGCTTTTTTAAATTGGAGATATTATTTTTCAGTGGTAACAAGTAAAATATATTATTTATTTATAATTATTTTTATAAATACCAACTGGATTGTAATTTCACCTTTCAAATTATACTGGACGGGAGAGACGGAAAATTAACTTTTTAAAAAATAATTTCCAAAAAAAAAAAATGGAAAAGACAAAAATAGACCCCTTTTTTTGTGCTTATTTTGACTTTTTAAAAAAATTTCAAAAAAAAAATTATTTTTAGTTTTGTATACACAAAAAAAAAAATTGGCATAATTTAAAAAAAATTTACTAGAGACAAAAAGTTAAAAAAATAAAATAAAAATCTGACTTACTTGAAAATTTCCGTACAGAGGAAATAAAATAGAACTGGAAAATAAATTCAATTATAAATAATATTTATCTTCTGGCGCAAATACAATACAAAATCATTTAATTTAAACTAAAGAAGAAGGAGAACAAAAAGCTAATGAAAGTAATAATAATAACAACAACAATAAAATAAAGCATGCGTGAATCTATGCCTCATCTGGGACGCCTGCAAGCGAAAGCTCCTTTAACCATTCAAACGTTCGGTGACGCGACATCGTTTGCTTTCCATTTTGCTGCTTTGTCTTCTTCTGCTTCACTGCTTTCTCATCTTTTCTTTCATTTCCTTGTCCTCCATTATTACTAGGACTACTATTAACCATAACAACAACCCTTGAAGGAACAGTTCTGTCATTAACTGCATTAACCGAACACTTACAACCCCCAAACAATAATCCACCATTTTTGCTGAACATCAATCTCTGCTTCTTCTTCTTCTTCTTATCGATGTCGGAACCATTTTTGCTACTACTGGTGCTGCTAGTGCTGTTTCGACTGCCGAAACTCCTTGTGTTGTTGTTTCGAACCTTGAGGTCTTGCAATTCAATCTCTGGCCATGGTGCTCGGACCAAACCCACTCTGAAAAAGCTCCATAGCGTCGATTTATGACTAGTACTAGTACTAGTACTACTACGGTGACCACCGACATTTCCATACCGAGAGCTCGAAACCCGGATCTGGGGCGTAGGGCTTGGGTGGGAATGAAACTGGTTTCGAATTCTTTGCTTCTGAATTGCGGCGGCGGCGGCGGAGGTGGAACTGGCGCTGCTTGATGAATTGTGACTCCGAATACTGCTACTTCTACTGCTGACACTTGTGAAACCACTCGATGAATAGCAATGGTCCATGGACTCGGACCTTGAGACGCACCGGCTAGGGTTTCGGCTGTCCTTTCGTAACGCAGCCAAGCAACTGTCGGAGCTAATTGAGTGACGTAACGGTAGAATTTGGCCTCGAAAGAAGACGTCATCGGCGGCACACATTACGGGTTCTGTCGAAACGGAGCCACCCAACGAACCGAAATCAAAGTCTTCTTCGATCTTGGTCTTGATTGATGGAGCTTCTTCTTCTTCTTCTTCTTGTTTTCTTGATTGATTTGCTTCGCTGATCGGAAGATCACACAGTAACAATGCTCTTCTTCGTCTTCTTCTTCGGCTTCATTTGCAATAGATATGGATTGTATTTCTCTAGCCATCTTCGATGTAGTTTTACTCGAGAAAGAATAGTTCCTTCCTGTGGAGAGAAGAGAAGTAATTTATATATACAGAGAGAAGATATTTGAATATGGAGAGAGAGACAAGTGGAAACAAAGAAGTAAAGCTGTGGGAGATTGGTAAAGTAATAGTAAAATAGAAGAGTAAATGCAGGCGACCCAAATACTATTTGGTTTATTAATTGTTTGGGAGTGAATAGAAGTGTCGAAACAGGGCCGGCCATTACCCCAGCCAGCTCCTCTGCACTCTCGCTTTCAAATCATTATCTTTGCATTGCAGCAGGAAAAGTATTCCATCTGCCATTGTGGGAGGTGGGGACCCATTTGGGATTTTACAAATACATACTTACAAATTTATATTAATGTAATTTTTTATTAAACTGGTAAATATCAATTCATTTAAAATTTTAAATAATTTTTTTATTATTTATATTATATTTTTAACCTCATAGAAATGATTTTCGTGCATTTGACCGGTGGCATGGCTAATCACATTATAATTTATACGGGTGAATTACACTTTGCCTTCATAAAATTTTATCCATTTCTCATTTTGACCATTTAAGTTTAAATCTTTTTAATTTGACCTTTTCTATTGGTAATTCTTCCTACTTTGACTCTTTAAATTTGATTTTTTTCACTTTGTCCCTTCATATTTATAATCATTTCCACTTTGATCCTTTATGTTTATAATTCTTCTCACTTTACTTTTAGACTAACTTACATCTAAAAAACCAACAGAACCTGTCATATCATTAACACATCAGCTCCATGTATGATGTAAAAAATTCACTAAAGATGCATAAAATAAAAAATAGAAAACAAAAAAATTAGATTTTTTTTAGTCTTTAGTGAATTTTTTTTTTTCAAATTTATGAATAAACATTATTACATTATAGATGCATCTAGATTATATGCACCTAAAAAAGTAAAAACAAATTTAACTAAAAAGAGAAAAAAGTTTACTAAAGACGAAAAAAAAAATGAAAATATACTGACTCAAATACCTGTATTGTCAATTTTGAAATGAAAAGTTTACTATCATTTTTTTTCGTCTCTAGTGAACTTTTTTCCTTTTTTTAGTTTTATTTTTTATTTTTTTATTTTTTTAAGTGCATATAATCTCGATGCATCTATAATGTAATAATGTTTATAAATAAATTTGAAAAAAAAAGTTCACTAAACTAAATAAAAATTTCAGTTTTTTTGTTTTCTATTTTTCAATTTTTACATCTTTAGTGAATTTTTTACATTACGCATGAAGCTGATGTGTTGTCGATGTGGCAGATTCTGTTAGTTTTTTTGATGGAAGTTAGTCTAGAAATAAAGTGGGAAGGATTGCAAACATGAAATGTCAAAGTGGAAATGATTGCAAATATAAAGGGCTAGAGTGAGAAAAATTAAACTTAAAGGGTCAAAGTGAGAATGATTGCAAAGATGAGGTTTAAAGTGAGAAAAATTGCAAACATGAAGGGCCAAATTGAAAAAAATAAACTTAAAGGGCCAAAGTAAGAAATGGATGAAATTTTATGGAGGCAAAGTGTAATTTATCCTAAATTATACACTCAAGTTGAAGATTTGCCTGTCCAAAATGAAAAAACAGAAAAAAATTTGAAATAGCATGCAACATGTGACAATGTATTATTTTTAAAAAAAATTATAAATCAGTGGTGCTTTCATAAATTTTTTATAAATTAATAAAAAAATTTATAACTTCAATTATTTAAATTGACAAAATTTATCACTTAAAATTTTTCGTTAAAAATGTACACTGAATTTCAATTTTTCTTACCTTTGAGGCATTGCTACATATGGCACTCAATAACTTTTGTGTTATGGTGTGAAAAGTACTCTAAAAGAGTGATATTACAAATGGGTATATTGATATTAATCATTTTAAAACAAATGTTCATTAAAATAATCGGTAATGCTACGTCGCTCAAAAAAAGTCCCCCCGAATAGAAACGACGTCGTTTCTGCATTTTGATATGAATTCTGTATATAAATTTGTGTAACAAATAAACTTTTCTCCCAAAAAAAACACCTACTAAATTAAAGGGTAAATTACAAATACATCTCCTGAGGTTTGCTTAAAATATGAATTGTCTCCTGTGATTTGAAAAATTACAAATACCTCTCTGTCAAAATTTTTTATTTAACAGAATTGATTGAAAAAATAAAATTTCCAACTGTTCATCTGTACAATAATAAAATTATTTGAATTTATTTGAATTATTAATTAAAATAAAATTTAATATTGTTAAAAACTATTAATTAACTTGATTATTTATTAATAAAATGACTTATATATTATGAAATTAGAAACCTTAAGAGACATAATATAATTTATAGAACTACATAGAGTAATTTATAATTTAAATAAATCTCAAAATGTGTATTTATAATTTATCCTAAATTAAAATTTAGCAAAACATCTTGAGAAACCATCTCCAATTGTCTCTCCATCTTGTCAAACCATATCCAAAAGCTTATTTACAGGCCATCCATGCATGGCTGTGTAGCCATCTAGTTCAATCACGAATGCTTTAAAATCCATTATTATTAATGCATCAGCACCAAAGCCAATCCATATAACCACTCAATTTACTCATAATAATCATCAATGTACATAGAACTCGATATACTTCTTTCTTTTTCTTTTTTTGATCATTAAAATAAAGATATGGGATAGGTGGTAGGTGGGGTGTAGTCGTTACAGGAGTTTTGTGATTGTGGCGTAGAAGTGATGAAAATTTTAAAGTTAAGTCATGGATTGCATGCTAGTGACTGAATGTGACTAAAGGGTCGATCTCTTACTTTATTATACTCTTTTTTTATCAGCCAGTCATGGAATGGCTTTACATCTTACTGGAGGTGATTCATGTGCTGTTCCAAAAAAAATAAGTGCTTGTTTGGGATGTTTCATTGGGACTAAAATAGTTATATAAGACAAAATAAATTATTTTAATTAAGTAAGATAAAATGTCACTTTCAATTCATAATCGTTTTATTTTTTTTCTCACAAAAGTCAAAAAATCTATTCCAAATAAGACTTTTTAGCCCTAAATTAAAATAGTCAAAAAAACCAACTCACATCCCAAACGACCTTTAAAAATTATTTAGCAAATATAGAAATAAATCATAAAATCAAACATAATAAAAATAAGACACATGAAAAAATTGTGTTTGATTTTGTGATTGACTTATGTAATTTTAGACCTGTTCAATTATTTAACATAATTTCTATAGATTTTAGGTTTTAAATTTTTTTTGCATCTTACTAAGGCTTCGTTTGAGAAGTGAGTTGACTTTTTAACTTTTTGGCTTTTTTAGCTTGGGCTAAAAAGTCTCGTTTGAGAATTTTTTTTTGATTTTTTTGACTTTTTGTTAGAGAAAGAATGTAATGATTATAGTTTGGATGTGATGTTTTATCTTATTGGGCTAAAAAGTATTTTTTTTTTTGGGTCTATTTTAGCCAAAAAAAATCTGAAACCCATACTTGCCAAACGAGCACTAAGAAGCCAAGAGTTTTACTTGGAGATTTTTTTTTTAATTTTTTTTAAATGATAAATGCTAAAGACTCGTTAAGTTTCATAATTCTCACTCACAATAACAAAAGAGTTGGCAAAAGAATTGTGAATGCAATTGTGAAATTAAAATTATAGATATCAATCTTTTTTATTTTTTTATTATATTTGTTGGGTTTGTTGAATTTGTTTTGTGCTTGTGACTATATATTGAACTTTATTTTATAATTAAATGCCAATTTAAAATTATTCTTACAATATTTGTAATATATTTTTAACTGGTTGGAAAAATTAACTAAAATTAATTAATTGATCTCAATTTTGTATGGTGCAACCTATATATATATATATATATTCCCCCCCCCCCCATTTTCTAAACCAAATTAATTTGTGTATAAAGAGTGCTTTAAAAAATTGGGTCTCCTGCCTGTCTGAAAAATAAAAAATAAAAAATAAAAATTGGGTCTCCTCAAATTGGATAGTTAAGTAAAATGAAAATTTTATTTGGCCAATTTGAATTGTATTTTTGAAAAAACTCCAAATTTATTTTGAGCAATAATAATTAGACTGGAGAACATCATGAATTTAGGTTGATATTGTCATATAAATATAAAAAAAAATCTGAGAAAAACATTAAAAATTTTCTTATGCAGTTTGACATGGATAGGCCCACATGGCATACGGCCCACGGCAAACCACCCCGAACCCATCGCTTGGGGCCAATGGCACAACCCGGTTGACAAGGCCCAGAACAGCTGGAGGCCACCTAGACATGAAGGGCCAACGGCATTTAGGCACACGGCAGGTGGGACACGGGCCACATCAGCAGACAAAGATCTGCAGAGTTATTATCACAACGCATCACCATTAATGCGACCCATCACAGCATTTATTACAACAGCACTCCCCGCCGGAACAGAGCCTCCATCACCCTAAACAAGATGAGCTATGGCACAGGCTTTCGGCGGAAAAAAGCAGGTCACAGGAGACAGGAAAAATGATGACAAAAGGATATAAGCAAGGATAAGAGGAAAGAAAAAGGGGAAGTTATCTCTCTCTTGATCTCTTTGAGACAGGAAAAATGATGACAAAAGGATAAAAGCAAGGATAAGAGGAAAGAAAAAGAGGAAGTTATCTCTCTCTTGATCTCTTTGAGACAGGAAAAATGATGACAAAAGGATATAAGCAAGGATAAGAGGAAAGAAAAAGGGGAAGTTATCTCTCTCTTGATCTCTCGATATACAGTTTTTCATACTCTTGGGGCCACATGGCATACGGCCCACGGCAAACCACCCCGAACCCATCGCTTGGGGCCAATGGCACAACCCGGTTGACAAGGCCCAGAACAGCTGGAGGCCACCTAGACATGAAGGGCCAACGGCATTTAGGCACACGGCAGGTGGGACACGGGCCACATCAGCAGACAAAGATCTGCAGAGTTATTATCACAACACATCACCATTAATGCGACCCATCACAGCATTTATTACAACAGCACTCCCCGCCGGAACAGAGCCTCCATCACCCTAAACAAGATGAGCTATGGCACAGGCTTTCGGCGGAAAAAAGCACGTCACAGGAGCACTCCCAGAGGACCAGCAGCAGGCTTCCAAAGTCCGATCCCGAGCGTCCAATTACGTCATTATCGACGACATATTGTACAAACGCGGTTTCTCCCGGCCATACCTACGCTGCCTCAATCCAGCGCAAGCAACTTGCGTAATGCAGGAGATCCATGAGGGGATTTGTGGCAATCACTCAGGAGGCAGATCCCTTGCCCAGAAGGTGCTCCGTACTGGGTATTTTTGGCCAACACTCAGTCAGGATACGACTGATTTCGTGCTCAAATGTGACAAATGCCAACGCTTCGCCAACATCCCTCATGCTCCTCCTACAGCATTCTGACATGCCAGGCATCGACCCCTCCTTCATAACCCATCGCCTTAGCATCGAACCCCATTTTCGACCTCACCGCCAGAAGCAGCGCATCTTCCATCCGGAGCGCAACACCCTTATAGCCGCCGAAGTGGGACGCTGAAATCCGAGCTATGAAACTCCAACTACAAGGGGTCATGCAGAACATCCAGCACAAGCCCTCGGCCACCGCCAACTCACCTTTTGTTGCCTCCATCCGCGACAAACCATTGCCTGCCAAATTCAAGATGCCTACCATTGACTCCTTCGATGGCACGACGGACCCAGTCGACCATCTGGAAACCTACCGCACCCTCATGGTCCTCCATGCCTTTCCTGATGAGATCATGTGCCGAGCTTTTCCAGTGACCCAGTCGGCCTCTCCACTCGTTTCACACTTCTCTCCCTTCTTACTATTCCCTTCGTTGGTCTAAAGCTGCACTCGGAAATGGGGGACTACTGACATGGATAGGCCCACAAGGCACACGGCCCACGGTAAACCACCCCGAACCCAGTGCTTGGGGCCAATGGCACAACCCGGTTGACAAGGCCCAGAACAGCTGGAGGCCACCTAGACATGAAGGGCCAACGGCATTTAGGCACACGGCAGGTGGGACACGGGCCACATCAGCAGACAAAGATCTGCAGAGTTATTATCACAACACATCACCATTAATGCAACCCATCACAGCATTTATTACAACAGCACTCCCCGCCGGAACAGAGCCTCCATCACCCTAAACAAGATGAGCTATGGCACAGGCTTTCGGCGAAAAAAAGCACGTCACAGGAGACAGGAAAAATGATGACAAAAGGATATAAGCAAGGATAAGAGGAAAGAAAAAGGTTAAGTTATCTCTCTCTTGATCTCTCGATATACAGTTTTTCATACTCTGCTCTACTAATTCTGGCACCGGAGGGTTCACTGGGGGACTACCCCGTTCCCCCCCGAACTTGCATGCAGGTCATCTGACGGAGTCTCCTTCTTGAGCCGGAGCCTGAAGAGCCTGGGCCGGTCCGACCCATCCACCCGGGAACCGATACCTCATCACAGTTGATTGTTCATAAGTTGAAAAAGTAAAATTGAGTTTTTTGGGGTTTGTACTAAAATTGAGTTGGGAAGTTGATATATGTTAAAATGTAGGTGATTTTGATAAAATTAAAAATTAAAATTCAAGTATTAAAAACTCAATTCTGAAATTTTTAATTTGAAAAATGATTCAATATCTTCTGAAATTTAAACATTTAATTTAATCAAGTTATTTAGACTATGTTTGGCATGAGCTACTTTGGTTATTTTAGTCATAAAAAGACAAAATAAGCTAAAAAATCAATAAGATAAAATATCACATCTAAACCATAATCATTTTATTTTTCTCTCACAAAAGTCAAAAAGTCCATCCTAAACAAGGCTTTTTAATATCCGACTATAATAATCAAAAAATTAAAAAACTAAAAAATCAACTCATATACCAAACAAATGCTTAGGCTTCATTTGGGAGCCCTCATTTTTAGTCAAAAAGTCAAAAAATTACTAAATTAGCCAAAAAGCCAACAACCCATACTAAAAAGTCAAAGATTTTCTTTTCTCTTTACTTTTTGCATATCTTTTCGTAAAAAGTTAAAGAGTAATCTCAAACATACTAATTTTTTTTAGCTCATATTTTAGTCAAATAATCAAAAAATTACTAAATTAGTTTGTTCTCAAACGAGGCCTAAATATACCTTAAAAACAAAAGTTTGAAAGTTTCAAAAGTTGAATTTTTTAAAGAAAATGTTACAAATCCCAAAAAATTTATCAAATGACTCGTATAAATATGAGACACACACCACATAGGACCGACACCACTCTCTATGTTATTGTGGTGAAGTTTCTGGGGGTGGTGCTGTGAGGGTTGACATCGTTTTCTAGCCTTTTATTCAATGTTATGCTTCAACCACGCCGACCAAATCGGCAATTTGCATGCTTCTAGACTCTAGTTCACTTGTCGTACCACGCCACAAAGTGAAAATGAAAATTTGCAGCACATGTTAATGTTGGATGGGTTAGTACCATATAAATTGATTGAGAATTTTTTTAAATAAATAATTTAACTCAAATTGGAAAAAAAAAAAAAAAAAAAGCATTTCAATGGACGAAATGCTGCCATTTATTTATTAAAGATAATCAATAGTAAAATATACATCTAATCTCAACATAAAAAAATTGAAAAATTATTTTTCCGTTTATTCAAATAAAAAATAACAAATAACTGATGATAAGAGACAATATTATATAAAATAAGAGAATATAATATAATTATTTTTAAATTTATGATGCTTGATGTATGTTTTTAAACCTCAAAAGTGATAGTGTAATTTACCTAGAAATTGTTCGTGATACGGCACCTGAAAATTAAATCCTAATTTTTTTTTTCAGTTGTTACTGAATGTAATTTTTAATTAAAAAACAGTAACTTTAATTATTTAGTGACATATATTGAAAACCAATATATTTTAGAAAAAAAAATTAATTCAGGATGTATTTAAGAAATAATTATGAATCAGTGATAAATTTGATAAATATCAATAATTAAATTTTTTAATTTTTTTCATAAATTTATAAGAAATTTTGAAAATACTGGTAATTCTTCCTATATTTTTAATGGTTGCACCCCCCCAAAAAAAAAAGGAAAAAAATAACCAAACAAAATGTGGCAGCTCAACATATATGATATTCGAACCAGTAGATTAAGATTAGAACATAATTTCTTGAAGAAAAAAAAAAACATGAGATCCCTAATCACAATCACAACAAAAAAATAAAAAAAAATGTGACGTGAAGAGTCATACATTATCATACGACACACTCAAACATATAATAAAACATCATATTTTAATCAAAAGATGAAAATTTTTTATAATACATTTCATCACCCCTAATATTATTCAAAGCAAAGGGCCTCCCAACAAGAGGACCATGAGATGCAAACAGAAACTCATCTTTCCCTGAAGACACACTACCAAAAAGTCAGTTTTATATGAGCAAACACCTAGCCTCAGGGACGGCGGCCGTCGCCTGAAAGGGTGGGGGCATCGGTGGCTCCGCCGCCGCCGCCGGGCTTGGGCTGTTGGTGGCCTTGGGTGCCGTAGCCTTGACGCTTGTAATCCTCCAAGTCCTTGTACTGCGTGTACGGACTGCTCTCCATTGGTAACCCTTCTTCCACTTTCCCCCCTTTGTTGTTGTTCTTATCTTCACCTTCCATTTTCTTCGTCTGCTGTCCATTCTTCTCCATCTCTCTCTCTCTCGCAAAATGTTTGATTTGATTTGATTGGTTTTTTTTTTGTTTTTGTTTTTGAGTTCGTTGGGATTGATCTGTCGGTTGCTCCGTATATAGACATTTTTTATGGGTGTTTGTGAGGTTGCCACCGATTGGACACGTGTTCTTTTTGTATGAGGTGTACGCATTGGAGGATAACACGGCTCCTGGAACAATGTTCAGCTGCGTGTTGTTTAATTTTGTACCCTTTATACATCCACGCAAGGGGAAAATTATTTTATATGAATAGAGAGAGGGTGACATGGTTGATTAACAGCCATTCAATTTTAAGCTTAAAAAAAAAAAAAGCTTGTTTTATAATTAATAATTTTAAAGTTTTTATATAAATAATTTTTTATTGAAAATAAAAAAAAAGAGAAAATTTTAGATGCGAAAGGATGTGGTAGTTACAGACGCTAATTTTAAAGTTTGATTATATGTTGCACTTTTATAAACCAAAATGAAAATTTCAATTTCAGTGCACAAATGAAAAATGAGTAAGATTATAATTACATATTTTTTTTATCATCTACTTACAATGAAAGTGGAACTCACATTCTGGGTAGGCGGTATTGTCAAAAAAAATATATATATATGCTTATAGCAAGACTAACGAAAAATATCAAAATTTTGCATTAATTGGACTTCTCAATTTTTGTTCACAGTGCACTCCAAGAGTTTGCATGGAATTGGCCTGGCTCACAAAAAAAAGGGCTCAAGCTTGTTGGCGGCTAAACACAATAAGCTTTTTTTGGTCTTGGGCCGATTTATGAATCCAAACTTTCGGGCTAAATCCTACCTTGCTAGCTTGGTCTAGATAATCTCGAGAGCTGGGCCAACAAACGGGCTAAGCCGCGTTTCAAATTCTAGGTCTAGGACCAACACAAGCCCCATTCATGCCGCACTACCTGCAAGGGTTTGGAAAGTGGGTTATAATCCACTTCTCAGATTATAATCTACTTCCTCTCTCACAAAAAAAACTACTTATAAACTATTTATAAGTAATCTTTTACCAAAAAATTAATTATAACCACCTTTTCAAAATAGTTTAAATTCAGGCATACGCTAAGCCACTGATCTTCGGACCCAATAATGACTTGACTTTATCTGTTGTCCAATTTGTGGACTACAAGTTAGATTTGTAAGGCTTCCATGAGTTTTACTAAGGTGATTTTAGGTTATTTATATTACCAGCAACTGTGTGTAGATTATTTATATAAAAAATTAGATTAATTTGACAATCATACATTCATGATTTTATCAAATTTTTTTGTTAATAAAATAGATAATGTAGGTGTTTGGGAAGTGAGTTTTTTTATAGGTTTTTTTAGTTGTAGGATGTTATTGGAGAATTTTTTTTTTTTATGTTTGGGAAGATAGTTAGGTTTTTTTGTGGTTAAATCTGATATTTGTAAGAGAAAAAGTAAAATGATTATGGGATTTTATGTGACAGTTTGTTTGGATTTGCTTTTATTAGTTTTTTAACCAATTTGTCTTTTAGTGGGAAAAAACCAAAAAAATTTCTTCCTAAACAGCGCCAATATATTTCAAAAATCATATTTGATCAATTTTTGAAAATAAATATAATAAAATGTAGCTAATAAAAATAAAAACCATAAATTGACAAAATTAACAAATTTAATCACCTAAAGAAACTCATGGTAAATTGAGACCACAATGGATTAGAAAGAATGTCACGCCTTTAATTTCCCACTACTCTCTCATTGTTTATGCAATTAGAAACCACCTCCATCACGCTCCGTCTATTATATTTTTTTATTTTATTTAATGAAGACACACTACCAAAAAGTCAGTTTTATGAATAACATCTAATTAAAATTGTTTAGTTTTGATAATATTATAACTGCACATACTGAAAATATGAGTTCATTTTGTTCAAATGATCAAAGCACATTTGGACAAACATGTGGTGGTGGTGGAAAGTAGCAGTGGATTATCGTAGGACTGGAAAAGGGCATGCTTGTCCTTCTAAATTATTCTTACAAATGTTCATTGAAAAAACTTTCTTGTTTCTTCTTCTATTTTTTCTTCTATCATGTCTTTTTGAAGGACCACCATTTTCAATAAAATGCCCAATATTTAGAATCGCAAGTTTGAATACAATAATGCCTGTGAATTATGATTTCTGCAACCCACATGCCACACGGCTATATAAACCGTGGCTTCTCACCTGACTGTTGTTTAGTAAACATTCATTAAAAATTAAATATTAAATATTTTACATATTTTTATATGTTATATACATTTTTTTTTTTGTTACAGAAAAATCCTCCCTACTCTCCCGCAGGTCCAAGGTAGCGTCCCTTTGTAGAGATCACCAAGGTGTCTTGTTAGCCGTTCTGAGCAAAGAGACTATAACCTGAAAACTTACCTCGACCTCCCAAGACAAGTTCCGCTTAAGTCAAGACTTGCACAGTGGGGGACCATTGAACCCACATGAGAACTTACCCCGACCTCCCAAGACAAGTTCCGCTTAAGTCAAGACTTGCACAGTGGGGGAGCATTGAATCCACATGGGAACTTACCCCGACCTCCCAAGACAAGTTTCGCTTAAATCAAGACTCGCACAGTGGGGGAGTATTGAACCCACACCAAGTACTGGTTAGATAACTTAAGGTCTAACCTCCTAACCAACTGTACTACGCTCAAGAAATTAGCCCAGAGAAAATTTGAACTCATGACCTAAAAACTTAACCCCATATTCTTACCACAAGGCCACCCACCTCCAGCTTCATATACATTCTTTTGGTAATGTGATATCCATCAAATAATTTTTGTACCCTCTAACATGGGAGGTAACGGGATATCCATGTGCTAAGTACGGTACCAACTTAAAGAAAGTGAATCTATTCCATTTTGATTTGCGACAGTTGCATCAGAGAACCACCTGACGTGTCTAACCATATGAAATGTAGCAACTCCTAAGTAAATCCTTGTATATTTAAGCAAAACAATGCTCACACAAATAGGAATAATTTGGGAAGGTTGTTAAAAGTTAACCGTATGAATTAAGTGCGCTTATTCAATCATGAAATTGGAATAAAAATTGAAAATTAAAAAAAGAAATTACTTTTCTAGATAATCAAATGATTTCAACAAGTTAAGCCTGTGTTTGGCAAGTGGGTTTGCAGGTTTTTTTGATTATTTTAACCATAAAAAATAAAATAGGCTATTTTAGCTATAACAAACAAAACATCACATCTAACCCATAATCATTACATTTTTCTCTCACAAAAAAACTTAAAAAAGTCAAAATGCCAAAAAGTCATTCTCAAACCAAGCTTTTAAGCCCAGACTAAAATAGCCAAAAAAGTCAAAAAGCCAACCCACTTTCCAAACGGAGGCTAAATATTCATCACAACTTATGTTAGATATTTTTTATCTTATAACCGAATGTTTAGATCAATTTACACGTATTTCAACTAATTTAAACTCAGGTTAGATATGATTTACAAGCTCGATTATGTAGGAGTGTTTTGAGAAGATGATTAAAAATGAGTTTTTGATTTATAACTAAATTTTTTGACTTTTTTAAAAAGTGATTTAAGAAGTTGATAAAAAGTTACTTTTGACTTTTTTAATTAATATTTATTTATAATGTCATATTATAATCAAATGACTAAAATATTCCTACCAAATTTAAAAAAATTATATTTTTATTTATGTATAACCTTAAATAATATAAAAAATATAATTATAATTTCCTTGCTTGTTTTTAGATTTCTCAAATCACTTCTTGTTAAAAAAGTCAAGCTAACTTTTTTTATCCCGAAACTGTAAACGCAATTTTTAACCTGTGTTCCAAAAGAGCACGTAGTCACGATTCTCCAAAATCACTGCACCAATCAGTTATTGCATCACCCATACAAGAATGGGTATATGAATTCTACGATAAATAAATGGATAGTGATAAACAGTTATAACACTAGAATTCTAACCTGAGTTATAGTAAAGCGTTAAAAAATATAAACAAAATAAAAAATTAAGAGCTCAAATTATGAAATTTTAAAAAGTGAGTTCCATAATGATGTGATGTTTGTATTTTTTTTTTTTTTTTTTTTTTTTATTTTTAATTTTTTTTTTTTCATTGTCAAGTCATTAAAATTCTGTTTAAAACTCTAAAGTGAAAGGGATGTAATATTTTTGAAAAAAAAGAAGTTAAAACATCACGTCATCATGTAGAACTCATTACTAAAACTTTTAAATTAGAGCTCCCGACATTATTGTAAATAAATAAAACTATACGAAAGATCCATAATACAGAGCAATTTTCTATTGTGTAACATTAAAATCAACAACACGGTGAGGGTTTGAGTTAATTTTTTGTTTTCTTTTTAAATTTTGAGAATGTAAATCCATTAGACATTCAAACAAGTTGTGGAAGAACGCTGTACACTGAGGAAAAAAAACATCTCCTTATGCTAGGTTTTTCATGTCTTCTCTCTCAGAGAACAATTATCAAACACTTGGACTGCCTTGTCCATTCTTTTCTGGAAAACAAACGAACCTTAACCATTAACATCTACAATTAACAATAAGCTCTCAGCTACGTCCAGCTAATCGCAATCGGACTTCCGACAATAAGATTCCCGTCCGACCACTTCATATATCCAAATTCAAACGAATTCGACGGCATTGGGCCGGCGGTGAAAGTCACTGTATAAGATTTCTTCTCATTCGATTGAGTGAAGCTCAAGGACTCGGGCACAATCGAAGCCTTAACCGACTTACTTTGTAGATTAATTGACACATTGTATGTGGCCGGAGAGCCGACATTGGTGAGCGTTCGCGAAAACTTGACCACCGTGGAACCACCGCCGCCACTGCCACCATTACCCATTTGTGGGCTTAGGAGAGCCACGGAGAAAGAAGGGTAGTTGAGATCGGTGAGACTGTATTTCTTTGTTGGGTCACATGTGAAGTTCGTCCTCGCGAGAGTGCTAATCTGTGACGCAGTGTAGTTTAAGGCGCAGAGGAAGCCCAAGTAATCGTTGACGTCCAAATCATAGACGAGTCCTGGATTGAGGGCTGATACAGGGTCCACGTGTCCAGCGCCGTGATCGAACGCCGTAGATGGTTTTCCGACTGCGATGTCTTCGAGCAAATTACCGTTTTTGTACGCCGTGTAGGCGGTGGTCATGAGAGCCGATCGTATGGCGCCGGGGCTCCACTCTGGATGCGCCGCCTTGAGTAACGCCGCGAGGCCGCTCACATGGGGGCACGACATGGAGGTGCCGGAGATGATGTTGAAGCCTACACGCCTAGTGTCGTCGACCAACCCAGTAGGTGCCACAGATCCCGACCAACCCGCTATGATGTTGACGCCTGGCGCAATGAAGTCCGGTTTCAAGATTTCCGGCGTGATTAAGTTTGGCCCTCTTGAACTAAACGCCGCCACCACGGGCGATGGTTCAATCCCCACCTTGGTTCCTTCAAAAAGAATAGTAGCCATCGGATTGGGATCTGAAAATAAGTAATTCTTGATTGAGTCACCGGATTTCTGACCCACCGTCGTCGCCGGCAGTAAATGGGCGTCAGCCACCAGCTCGTCTCCATTCGCCGCCGTATTGGCCAACACCATCCCAGCACCACCAGCAGCTTTCACCACAGCCCCTTTCTGTACCCTAGGGCTCACCCCACGATCACACATCACGATTTTCCCTCTAACTTTCTCGGGAATCAATGTGCCAGTCATGCAAAGATTACCACTCGTAGAATTACTCGCATTACCAGCGTAAACAAACGGAAGCATTTTACTGGGCAAAGACTCACCCTTGTAAAGCGACACTCCGGAATAGTTCATTCCATTGCCGAGACTAACGTACGCCGGGAAGTCACGATCCAACGTTCCAGCGCCGACGGTGGTGATCCACGGTGCCACGTTGGACAGGCTGTACGGACTGGGCCCCGCATTTCCGGCTGAGCAGGAGACCAGAATTCCCTTCTCCATTGCCGCAAAAGCTCCGATTGCGACGCTGTCCCTGTAATAGTCCGACATTCCGCCGCCGAGCGACAACGAAAGAACGTTGACGTTGTCGTCAATGGCCTTGTCCATCCCAGCCAATATGTCGGAGCTGAAGCAGCCGCCGATCCAGCAGACTTTGTAGACGGCTAGTCTGGCTCCAGCCGCCATCCCTCGGGCTGTTCCGGCGGCATAGCCAAATAGGCTGGCGTTGGCAACCACCGACCCCGCCGCCGTGCTCGATGTGTGGCTCCCGTGGCCGTCGTCATCTCTCGGTGATTTGGATTCTCTAGAGATATCGATTGAACCTAACGTGGCTTCGTAGCCTCTCGAGAAGTACCTCGCGCCGATGAGTTTTCGGTTACAGTTTGATGTAGTGAAGTTGGTGCCGGACTCACACGCACCGTTCCATGAGCTGGGAATGGGTCCGAGCCCTGTATCGTCGTAGCTCTTGCTTTCGGGCCAAACGCCAGTGTCTAACACTCCTACGATTACATCACTCACTGAGTTTGATTGTGGGAACAAATTCGTGGTCTTGTCGAGACCCAGAAATTGAGGGGATCGAGTTGTGTGAAGCTCGTACTTCATCTCCGGCAACACGGAGAGAATTCCGGGTTGATTTTCCAGTGATTGAGCTTCGTCAGCCGTCAATCTCGTGGAAAATCCGTGGACTACGTTGCTGTAGGTGTAGAGCATCTCGGCTGAGTCGGACACCGATTTGAGAGACGAGTCGTACCAGTGAGTGTGGTCATTAAAACTCGCAGGCATTTCGGATTTCGCCATATGTACTATGTATGTCTTTTTCTGTACATTCTTCTTCATCTTCTCCATTGACGCCATGGATATTTGGTATAAACCCAGAACCAACAATACTAAAAGACAATTCATCAACGACACTTTCTTCTCCATATCTTCCCTCCTCACGCTAGATTGAAAGATGGTAATGGAGGAAAGGCTTCCGAGACTTTGCCTCTTAATATAGAGCGAGATAGAATAGTTGGAAGATGTGTGAAATCATAGAAGAAAAGGGGAGAGAGACGGAGAGAGAGAAAAAAAAACAGTTAAGAGAGAGAGAGGGAGTGAGAAAGAGTGTGAGTGTTTCGGATGGTGTGGAAGGTGCTGGTGAAAATGAATTTGTTTTGGGAAAGAATGTTAGAGGTTTTAATTTTTTACTAAATGAATAATTAAATATTTTATATCAGTGTGAGATTTATAAAAATGTAGATTTTATATTTTGGTCTTATTTGGGAATAGATTTTTTTAGTAATTTTTTAGTTTTTTTTGGTTAAATATGATATAAAAAATTTAATTAGTGTGTTTGGTTTGAGTTTTCGAATTAAGTTTTTTAAAAATTAATTTTTTTGATTTTCGTATTTTTTTGTTTTTAGTGAATATTTTTTAAATTTTAAACATTTTTTTTACTTTTTTAGATGCACCTTACTTAGATGTATCTAAAAAGTAAAAAATTTGTAAAAAAATATTTTAAAAAATTAATAAATACATAAAAATAAAAAAAATATATTGAATTCTTGTATTTTTTTTGTATTTTTTGTATTTAGTGAATTTTTTTAAAAAAATTTTATAATTTTTTTACTTTTTAGGTATATTTATGTTAGGTATGTCTAAAAAGTAAAAAAATTACTTAAAATATTTTAGTGAATTTTTAAAAGATTTTTTTTTATAATTTTTTTACTTTTTAGGTGTATTTATGTTAGGTGTGTCTAAAAAGTAAAAAAATTGTTTAAAATATTAAAAAAATTCAGTAAAAACAAAAAATACGGAAAATAAGAAAGTAGAATTTTCTGAAAAGTGCTTTTTGAAAAGTGAAAACAAGCAAATATGTTTAGAATGATTTTTTAATTTTTTATGAAAAGATGTACAAAAAAGTGGAGAGAAAAAAGAATTTTTGAATTTTTTATATAAGTTGTTGGTTTTTTAATTTTTTAGTAATTTTTTGGCTAAAAAAAAGTCACTTACCAAAAGAGACCTTATATGAAACATTTAGTCATTTATTTAATTAAAAATTTGATGTTTCTAGTATTATCTCTTTGTTTTGTACCAAAAATAATGATAATGATAATAATGAAAAATGTTTGGTAGCTCAAAATTTTGTGGCTCAAATGGCTCAAATTTGTCAAAACGACGTCGTTTTATACTCATTTACACTCAAAACGACGTCGTTTTGAATGATTTGAGCCATTTGAGCCACAAAATTTTGAACTACCTAGCATTGTTGGATAATAATTTTGTTAAAAAAATGAGGGACGCAAACAATAGATCCAATTTTGATTGATTCGCCGTCACATTGATAAGAAAATAAAGTTATTTTTGATAAGTTGATTAAAAATTAATTTTTTAATTTTTTAAAATTTATTTTGAAAAAATATGTTAAAATTATGAGAGATGATTTGATTAAAAATGGGTTAAAAGTTAGAAGATGATTTTTAACCATCTTTTCAAAATAATCTTAAAGTAAGAAAACTATTAGATGCCTTCAAAAAATATATATATATATATAATTATATTCACAATGATATAGGCTTATTTTGAAAAAAAAAATAAAAAAATAAAAAATTGAAAGGTGATATGATTTAAAAAAATCAAAAAATCAAAAGTTAACAAGTTAACTTTTAATCCAATTGCCAAATAGGCCATAGAATGATATGTTTCAAACCTTGATTTATTATATGTTTGATGATATAAGGCGGAATTCTCTAATCACATAATTATTGGTGTATTTATAAGTCTAAAAGTGTGTGTCTCTTGTATTACTAAAAAAGTAGTAGCTTCACTTAAAAATATGGGTTTTTTTTTTTTAAGCTCCCTATTAATAACAATTTTCTGTATAAAGGACATTAAAAAATGTAATACTGCCTCAGGTCCCTAACCAAAATACCCGCGCATTTTATCAATTTCTTGGACCAAAATACCCTACGTCTGTTCATCTTCAGATGAGTTGATTTTTTTGACCTGAATGGTGCAATTTCAATGCGTGTTTAAACCTTTTCAATCTCAATTTTTATCATTTCTGGTTGTAGGAATGAGAGATGATTCAAAGGAATTTGCGTTGGAATTGTTCGATGCTCTGAGCAGACGACGAAGGTTGAATGTTGACAAGATCAGCAGAGATGAGCTTTACGAGTATTGGTCTCAAATCACTGATCAGAGCTTCGATTCTCGACTCCAGATCTTCTTCGACATGTATGCATTATTATTTTTTCTTTTCAAAAAAATTTAATAGATGTATATATATATATAACATACATATATATATATACAATGTCAGCACATATATATATATATATATATATATCCAGTGTTGAATATAATATCTTCAGGTTCAGAGAAATTTGAATTTTCTCTGGATTCAACCCAGAGAAATTCATACCATTAAGTTTAAAGAAAATCTATCACAAACTCATAGAAGAACTATTAATTTGTTTGTGCAGGAAATTGTGATTGAATCAGCAGCAGCAAAACCAATGACAAATTGATCAAATCAGAGTTTTATCATTCCAGAGAAATTCTGGACCAGAGAAATTTTTCTCTGGGTTGAATCTAGAGAAATTCTTTGGAAGTCCAGAATTTCTTTGCTTCCAACTGATGATGGGTTGCTTTCCTTCCAACTGTCAAAATTGAACTGCTTTCTGTGCATTTGGGGCTTCTTATTGAAGCTTCTTGTGTTCTTGTTTTTGTAAATTTCTCTGGCTTGTTACATTTGTGTTTCTCTATTGTGTAATTTTATCTGACATGTTTATGTTTCTTCATTATTTTCTCAAGCAAATTATCTGTGGCTTACTACTTCTCTGGCATTTATAATTTTTTCTGGCCAAATTACTTTTCTTACTTGTGTGTCTAATTTTCTCTGGCAGCATTTATAATTTTCTCTGGCTACATTATGTTTATGTCTTGTGTCTAATTTTCTCTGGCATATTTATTTTGTTCAATGCTCCATTTCCTCAAAATTTCTCTGTTGTGTAATTTTCTCTATCATGTTTATGTTGCTATCTTGTAATTTTCTCTGTTGTGTAATCATTGCTACCTTGTAATTTTCTCTAGGATTTAATGTTTATGTTTTCATTCTATAGAAATGGCAAAGCGCAGAAGCAGCACAACCCCAGAAATCCCGAAAAAGAAACCAAAAGTCTCTGTGTATGCGTCTTATGATCTTAGATCAAAACGCAGTAGCAGCACCAGAACACCACAAAAAAAACAAGTCCAAGTTGAAGAAGCAATAAGCATCAAGATCAAGACACCAACTTCAAGGGTGATTTTCACTCAACTACAAGCTTAACATTTTCTCTGTCATTTTCATTGGATTATAATAACAAACCTACGATTTTCTCTATACTACAAAGAAAAGTCCAGAAACATGAATAGTGCAAAAAAAAAAAAAAAATGAAAAGGGCAAAGAAAACATATCAGAAAACTTTGAAAAGTGTAAACATATAAAAACACATAAAAACACAACATATAAGTCTAGAGAAATTTGTAATACTTATCATTTGTAATACAATCATATGATTTTCTCTGGACTACAAAGAAAAGTCTAGAGAAATTTGTAAACTTATATTCACTTTCAATATAACAAAAACAAAAACATATTAACATCAAGAGACAAAAATATATTAAACACAAGCACATAAAAAAATCACAGAGAAGATCTGTTATGTTCACAAAACATTCCATTCAAAAAATTTTTTAAAAAAAAAACAAAACACTTACTACTCTATTGCTACGTCTGTAAATTTCTCTGCCTACTTACAATTTTCTCTGTGATTTTCACTGCACTACAAGTTTACAATTTTCTCTGTGATTTGAGTTCAATTATAGTAACAAACCTGCAATTTTCTCTGCACTACACAAAAAATGCAAAGTGAACAAAAAACAGAGCACAAAAACGCAGAAAAACAGAGCACCAAAAAGCAACTCATAACCATGTTGACAGAGAATGAAAAAGCAACTCCAAAAATCAAAATCAACTCCATCGAAAATTCATCAATAACAGATAATGAAAAATTAACTTCAAAAATAAAAAACAACAACATTGAGTTCGTCTCTCTCACATTGATCAAAACTAAAAACAAAAACCTAATTCAATACCTACACAATCAAATCAAATCAAAAATTGAAAACTTATCTAATTCAACTCCACATGAAATCAAATCAAACACAATGAACCAGATTTCAACTCCTACACGATCGATCAACACCTACAAACAACGAACATGATTTCAACTCGTACAGGATTTCAACATCTACAAATAACGAACAGGATTTCAACACATACAAAAACCCTAGAAAATCTCCACAAAAATTTGAATCGTCAAGTTCATCCTCACGTAATCTCCCACAAAATATCAATATGATCTTTAGCTGCCAAATTGAAAACAACGTATATTATATACAAGGGTAAGACAGGTATTTTACATTCTAAAATAACATTGAGGGACCTTAGGCTACAAAAGAACACATTGTGGACCTAATCCATTACTAAAAGTTGGATAGGGACCTTAAACCGATTTTCCCTAAAAATATTGACTACTATTTTTTCATTAATAAAAAATAAAAAATTATATGAAAGTTTATTTTCTAAATCTATTTTTAATATTATAAAAGAAATAATTGATTGATAATCTATATCTATATCTATATCCATATCTATCTATATATCTATATCTATACTATATATTAAGTAAAAGGGGGTTTTTAACCCCAAATCTTGTGAGAGTTCCAATCTCCCAATCTAATTTTCTTGATTTTTTTATTTAAAAAAAAAACCTTAGCATTTATTAACTTCTTTCAACCCCCAAGTCTTACCCTCATAATAACACTTTAATGCATTAAGAATAAGTATAAAAAAAAATTCTTTGAAATCCAACACATATGAATTTTTTGAAAAGTTCCAACACATGTGATTATTATCCTTCATAATAACACTTTAATGCATTAAGAACAAGTATAAAAAAAATTTCTTGAAAAGTCCAACACATATGATTATTATCAAAATATTAAACTTTAATATAATATAATAAAAAAAAGATATTTTATTCCTTGAAAAGTCTAACACATATGATGATTATCAAAATATTAAACTTTAATATAATATAAAAAAGGAAAAAAAAAGACATTTAAAAAAAAAGAAGACATTTAAAAATCACAATTCATATATATAGATAATTGTAAACACAATCCGTGCATAGCACGAGTGATATGCTAGTATATCTATATTAAAGAAAAGGGGGTTTCTAACCCCTAAGCCTTATAGAAGCTTCAATATCCCAATCTATATTTTCTAATTTTTTGATTTAAAAAAAAAAAAACCTTAGTATTTATTAATTTCTCTCAACCCCCAAGTCTTACCCTCATAATAACACTTTAATGCATTAAGAACAAGTATAAAAAATTCCTTCAAAAGTCCAACACATATGAATTCCTTAAAAAGTCTCAACACATATGATTATTATCCCTCATAATAACACTTTAACGTATTAAGAACAAGCATAAAAAAAATTCATTGAAAAGCCTAACACAAATGATTATTATCAAAATATTAAACTTTAATATAATATATAAAAAAAGAAGACATTTAATTCCTTGAAAAGTTCAATACATATGATTATTATCAAAATATGAAACTTTAATATAATATATATAAAAAAAGACATTTAAAAATCACAATTCACAAATACAAATAATTATAAACTCAACCCGTGCATAGCATGGTTGATATGTTAATCTATATATATATATATATATATATTTTAAGGAAAAAGAAGTTTCTAACTCCCAAGCTTTGTGGGAGCTCCAATATCCCAATTTTAATTTTCTAAATTTTTTATTTAAAAAAAACTCAGCATTTATTAATTTGGTCAAAATCCCCTGATCGACATTTATTAACTTTTTTCAATCCACATGTCTTTCCACATGCCTGTATTTATTGATTTGGTCAGCATTTAAAATTTCCTTATACAAATAATTATAAATATAACCAGTGCATAGTTACTGCAATATCCTTTTCAACTTCTCCCATACACTATGATTAGTGATAAGATTGTTAAATTTTTTTTATAAAAAATTTTAAAAAACATAACTTGTATATTAAAAAAAATTTAAAATAAATATAAATATTTACAATTATTCCATACATAGTACATGTTATAGGTTAGTTTAAAAAATTATGCAAAAAAGAGTTTTTTTATTTTTTATATTGAAAAAACACCAATCACATATAATTGATAAGAGTAATGCTACGTAGCTCGAATTGTGCCCCCCGAATCCCCCTAATTTACGAAACGACGTCGTTTCGTCGTTTTCATTTTTTTTTTTCAATCAGAAAATCAGAAGAAGAAAGAAAGAAGAAGAAAGAAAGAAAGAAGAAGAGAAGAAAAAGAGAAAAAGGCAGAGGCGGAGGAAGAAGGCACAGACGGAGGAGACGGCGGCCGGGCGGAGCTGCGACGATCGAACGATCGGCCGGAATGTAGGGGCCTCTGTGTGTGTGTGTCTCCATTCCCTCTTCTCTTTCTCTGTTTCCGTCTCTCCTCTCCTCTCTCTCTTTTGCCTTCACCCTCTTTTCCCTCTTTTCCCCTCTGTTTCCATTTTCGGGGGATTCGGGGGGGAGCTCATTTGAGCTCCCAAGCTTTATCCAATTGATAAAACACTCAACAAGCACGGAAGTGGCCAAGAGATCCAATCCTAAGACAAAACGTCATCCATGGAAGCTCTAGCTGTCCAATAGAATGCCCTATTAAGCTATTCTTAAGGATCCTCTAGAGCAATGTTCCTACAGTGATCTCCTACAGTGCAAGACAAGCAGCCGACACGTGTTCTACTCATCAAACGAAAGGCTGAGATTCAACTCACCGAGTAATTTGAAAAAAAAAACAAAACAAAAACAAAGTAAGAGAGAGAGAGAGAAGACGATCCATGGCTGGGTTTTCAAATCTCTCCCATGGCTGATTTGATTTATATATGTATATATATATGTCATCTCTATGTTTGATATATTTGTTTGTTTTGATATATATATATATATAGATCTAGAAGGAAAAGAAAGGAAGAAGTAAAGTAAGGAAGGAGAGGTGCGGCGGGGGAACTGTGTGGCAGCTGCGGTAGCGCGTCGGGTGGAAAGGGGCGGGACGGCGATGTCCTTCTCCTCTTCTCTCCTTTTCTCAGTGGGTTTGCGTAGTTGTTAAAGTAATTTTACCTGATTGGAGCTTCAAATACTCAATAACCCATTCCATTGATAACAACACTGTGTTTGTGTGTTTGAACGCTGTTGAATAAACCAGAATCATCAATAAACAAACTCAACAGGTCTCTCTCTCTCTCATCAAATTACACACTTTATCAAAAAAAAAATCATATTTGTAGCTGTTGAATGTATATGTGTTTGATTTAAAGTTTTAAGCTCAACATGTCTCTGTCTCTCTCATTCTTTCAATTCCCTCATCAAATTCATATATGTTTTTTCTTCTTCTTCTTCTTCTTCTTCTTCTTCTTCTTTTTTTTTTTTTTTTTTTTTTTTTTTTTTTTTTTTTCAAATTACTCACCAAAACGACATCGTTTTGGTGAGGTTTAATTTCCATCGTTGGATGGATCACTTTAGAGATCACTTGAGGGTTTTTACTCCAGAGGATCTTGACGCATTCTAAGATACCACTTGACCGACACACCGCCACAACTAGCTTGAGATTTAGGCTAGGTTTGGCATAACCTATATAAT